GCCGCCGCTCCCCCACTCCCCCACTCCTCATACCCTTTTCCTGTTACCTCTTCTAACCTAACGAAGGCCTGTGTTGTCGTTGGGGAGGGCTTTGAGGGGGGTGGGGTAGGAGGGAGGCAGCTTCACTCCTCTCTCACTGGAAAAACTAAAGTGACACATGTCACACCTCTAACGTTCTCTTGACCACCTGATACAGTTTTTCTCAAAAATCTTTTGTCCAAGCAACGATATCGTATTTTGAACAACACTGTCACTTTCGTCTTGAAATTCTCTTTCAAACGAGCCTACATGTGATAGGGGTCTGACCGCAAACAACAAAAATAAGAAAGAATTTCGAAGATTTATTTAAGTATGCGTATCTGTTTCATTATGAATCGAGAATCTATCACATCACATCACATCGTTTGAAAAGGAATTTCAAGACGAAGATGATGATGTCCTCAGAAATTATATTTTATCTCGTGGTCAGACAATATTTAAGAAAAACCCGTAATGTTACGGAAATTGCGTGATGTCACATCAATTGACGTGACATGTGTCACATTAGTTTTCCCAGTGCTGACACGAGGACAGGCCTGCGTCACGGCTGCACGCCGTCGGCGCCTTTGCTAAGGATGCTTCCAGCGCTCTGCACGGCCCCCGCAAGACCACAATCTCGTTCGGCGCCGTCGATGTGCCAATGTACGTGTTCGAGGGCGACATCCTCGAGGAGGTTCTTCTGGGCGGTGACTTCTTGGCTGCGTACGTGGAGCAATTCAGCCCGATGAAGAATGAAGTGAAGAAGCGTAGAAGCGAAAAGGCGGAAAAGCGAAAATCTTGAGAGGAGCCATCTGCATATGCAACGTCTTTATAGCGATTACGCGATTTTCTGATGTCGATTCTCGCCGAATTTAATGATTACACACAAACAGTGGTTAGTTACTTTACTTGTCCAGAGAGAGAAACTATGTAACTTTTGCTTTTACCTAACGATAAACCGCTGCTAAACCTTGTTAAACGAAAACAAAGCTATTTGCAACGTCTTGACGAATTAGGATCGACCTATCAGCATTTTCACTTTTCCGCCTTTTCGCTTCTACGCTTCTTCACTTCCCCGCTTCAACGCCCCCTCGCCCGGTGTCACCTCGCCCTCGCGTTTCACTCGGTGTCGCTTCGCGCCTCACTCGGACTTCACTTTCAGGCTTAACCTGGATATCTTCCTGGTTGCTCGAACCTCGAACAGGCGTCATCACTTCACTGGCACCGGCCGAAACTGTAACAAAAGTAAGCAATTTCCTTCTTTTTGTCACTTGTGTTGTGTATATGTTAAAAGTATGATGGATGATAACACTATCTTGGTGGAAGACTGTGAGCTATTTGGGAACCGCGTGAAATACAAACAGGAAATTGTGAGAGGTTTAATCTTCGACATCTCGGATTTTAACCTTCTATTCTTCAGTGCGTTGAGTGGCTGTCGAAAACATGGTTCATAACACCGGTCGTATCATTTAGTTAGAGATGTTCGCAACATAACCTATTTTTTAGCGACGTGAATAAGGCGTCCGCCTTAACCTCTCAGACGAATAGAGCACTTCAACTTAAGGGATTTGAAAAATAAAGCAATCACAAACCGGAAAAGCACTGCCTTCAGACAGCCCCCTCCTGCGCCTCCCCACTGATTCCTGTTTTAGTGATTTTTCACTTCTTCAAGAGACCTATCCTGAAATGGTTTATTCGTTCGATGTGTTGTTGTTCTCCGAGAAGCTCCGTCATTCACGCGTGCCTCTGTTTCCAGTTGGTTTCTTGTGCGACTGTGCGCGCAAGCCGTACTACATCTCCGTGGTCGTGTCCAAGCGAGCGTCATGGACCTGCTCCCCGACGACGTGATCCTCGAGGTGCTGCAGTACCTGGACGTGCGGGACCTCCTCGCCTTCCGCCGCGTCTGCAAGAGGCTCGGGGCGCTGGTGCTGGCCGGCCGGGTGTGGCGCCACCGAGAGCTCCGCCTCGACGGCCGCCCCCCCAACGGCAGCCTTCGTGTCCCTCCCGCGTCCCCCCGTGAGCGCGGGCCGCTACACCTGCTGCGCGTGGCGCCGTGCCTGGACCACTTGCACATCTGTGCCGCTGCTGGGACACTCCGGGCCTTAACCACGACCAAGTGCGCCGTAGCAAGTCTCACGCTGGAGAATAACCATTTGAGCTTTAACGCCCAGGTGTACGCGGAGGTGGTTGGCCACCAGGGGGCGCTCGGGCGCCTGAGGCGCGTGCACCTGATTTTCAGTCGCTCTGCTGATGTCTGCGGGGTGCTGTTGGACGCGCTGACGACGTTACCTCGGCTGGAGTCGCTGACATGCAGCATGGGCTGCCCCTCCACCCGCGCGTCCACCGCCCTCGTTCCGCGTCCGTCCGCGCCGTCCCTCAGGAAGTTCAGCTGGCCCCTTACTCGGGGCACAGAGCCGTTTGTCCAAGCCGTGCTGGCGGGGCACAGCGCCACCCTGGAGGACGTGGAGCTCCGGCTCTCGTACAGCGGCTGGACCAGCTGGACTGACGACACGGTGGCTCCGCTGCTGGCCGCCTTGCCCAAGCTCCACAGCCTGCGTTTGAACTACCCCAACCTCCCCGGGCTGCCGGCCGTGGCAGCCTGCAGGGCGCTCAGGAAGCTGTGCGTGGACTCCATTATGGACAAGTACTCAACTGTTGTGGAGCTGCTGCGCCGGGCCAAGCAGCTGCGCGACGTCCGCTTGCAGCTGGACTGGTCCGGACTGGGCTGCGAGGTGCTGGAGGCCCTGGCCTCGCCCGCCCTGGAGCGGCTGGAGCTCCAATCGGGTGGGAACACTGAAGCGCCGCCGCTGCTCCGCGCCTTGACCACGCTGCCCGCGCTGCGCCACCTGGTGCTGCGGATCGGTGACTACTTCACCTCTTCTCTGACCGCCGCGGCGGCTCGCGACCTGCTGCAGGGCATCACCCCCGCGACGGCCCCGGCCCTGCGCACCCTGGAGCTGAAGATGGGCAGGGAGCCGTGCCCCCACGCCTGGGTCCACGAGGACGCAGTCCGTCGCTCCGCATTCAGCTCGAATTCGTGGTATTCTCGGGCGCCCAAATGTGGTGCAATTGTGAGGTGTGCCGCATGGACTGCCACAAAGATATTTGGAAAGCAGTTGTCGGCACCTACTACATTCTAAAATTATCTATCATTTTACATGAACTTCAAATAGTTGTAAGTTAATGTGTCCTGAAATCATAAGTCAGTTTAGTCAATATCGGTCGTATGTCATATTTTTTCAAAAATGTAACTGTGAATAGTTTTTAAGATGTTAAGCAAGGCGGCAGGGTTTGTGATTGCCCAGACCTTATAGTTTTTGCTCGATTGTGAGATAGTGTGACAGACTACGACAAGTTACCAAGCTACACTGAAGAGCAAACGTTATTTTTGATAGCCTGTGACATTTATTTCTCACTCGAGCAATTCATTTGTATTTTCCTAAGGTAGGTGTTAATGTAACAGTGCAAGAAGCTTGCCATCAGTATGTTGTCATTAATTTTAATCTATTTTAAGAGTGGCCTAATTGAATGGGCTATGGCTGTAACCACATGAAACAATTTTTGACAGCACAGTTTTGGTTTAATACGTATTGTATAAATGTCTTTGTTCATAGTTTTAAGTCATGTGATATTTAGATATGAATGAAGAAGATCGCCATGTCTGTGTTGAAGATCCTCAACTAATTTCTTCTCATCTGTTTTACTCAGTGGTTGTAAGGATGAAGTAACAGTTTTGATACTTGTCCTCTATTAAATTTATTTGTGAGCATAGAGAACTTTCCAGAAAAATCAGGAAGTGTTTGCAGAACTTATGTTTGTGCATGTAAACAAATATTTGGCACTCGTTTATGTTTTTGGAGGAAATACTCTGCTGCATCTGATGTCATACCCAATTGACTGATTGAATAAGGTGATCACAATAAACTTATCAACGGTATGTTTTGCTCTGATACAAATTGTATATATGTTTGTTTAGTCACAAAATATTTGTATCATTGACAGTCACAAATCTCTAGAAGTATGCTGCTCACAGCTGACATGGCGTTTTGTAGTTTTATTTCTAGCAGCTTCATAATTCATTTATAAACTAGAGCAAGGAAATGTTTTTCTCTCTTTGACCGATCCATTTTTTTAAAAGATTTGTATCATCTTATTCAGTATGCCAACAGGTGTGGTAAATTTATTGAAAAAAGTATTATTGACAATAAAAAAGCTACAGTCCATACTGTGGACGATTACAGTTCATTTTCTATGAAAATAAATACGTATATTTATTACGTTAAGAGCAAATTTGTGTCATTCCTTCATACTGTTTAGAATAAGGAAATGAGCATGACCATTGCTACTCACACTACCAACTTACAAACGTTTTAAAAATGTTAGCGTAAAGTAGTTTTTACAAATCACGAAAAATGCAGTCCTCACCATCAGCAGGATAGATATACCATTCCTTTGACTCCAATCCGAATCCATGGCCATGGCTAGACAAAAGGAAGGTTATTTACTGTTGCCTTTGATGTCACTGATGGCGATCGGGAATGGGAACCCCTCTGAAACAGGTAGGAGACAGAGTCAAAGTCCATTACATACATTACAATGTTCACCAGTATGGAGTTTATGGTATTATACCTCAGTCGACTATTATCGTAATATGTGGGGATAGTGATCAAAATCAGTTTTTCTAATAATTTGCCTCAATTACTCTATTTCTCTACATTACATAATATGCATGTCGCCTAGGGCAGGGGCGGCTTGTATTGGATTAGCCAATAACAGTCGTGGCAAGCCTCCTCGTGGCCCCTCCTGGGGGGAAAATAGGTCGGACAAACTCGCATGCTAGATGTGCTTGCCTGTGTGCTGTGCTTATTTTCCTGCGAATATGCCTTAACGCGCCTGTCGTTCGCCTTGCTTTTCTTATACTTGCCCTTACTCTTGTTTACTATTTGCACGCTTTTCGCTGCCTTGCTACTATAACCCTTAGCTCCGCTCTATAGGTACAGGTCTCTCCAGCCACACGGTGACTCACATCACACAATCTTCTTCATCGTAGCCTTGCACGTCTCTCGACCCTTAAGGACCCTGGACTCAAGACCCTTCAGCGAGTTTACAACCGACGCGGTGCACGTCCCCGGACAACTAGGGTCAGAAGCGACCCTGGTGCCGGACCGGGTGCCTCCCCGGCGAGGGAGGTGCCAGGGATGATGGGACGGGGTGAAGCTGACCGTGACCAACGAGACTACAGCCGACGCGGTGCACGTCCCCGGACAACTGGGGTCGGCAGTGATCCTAGTGCCGGACCAGGTGCCTCCCCGGGTGAAGACGGCCGTGAACAGTATAGTGCTTAGAGTCTTTGACCCACCATATCCGTACCGTTCAACCGCCTATTCGGCAGCTTAGCCAGCCTCCTTTCTTCTTTCTCTACGCACGCAAAAAAGAGGAAGTGCTAAAAAAGCAAACAAAAGTTTGCTGTTTTTTCTTGTTTGCTGTCCCAGCAAACTTTTTTTCTGCAGCAGCGAAATTTTGGCTGGCCTAGCAAACTTTTTGCATCGCCAGCGAAATGGTTTGCTGTGACCATAGTAGGAAACTTTTGTCGCTACTCAGGTCACAGCGTAAAAGTTTGCTGCTGTTACCAAAAGTTTGCTAGGTCATCGAAAATTTTGCTACAATAGCAAAAAGTTTGCTGCGACAGCAAACAAAAATTTTAGCGAACTTTTTTTTAGCGAACAGTCTTTTTTCCGTGCGTGCACGTTGTTATGTGGTGATATTCCAACAGGGTACCTAACGTTTCCCAAAGTCACACGAGCACAATGGCGCAGCGCCGCGGAACCCGCGCCGCCATGTACGAATAACAACCAATCAATTAGACTAACTAAACGCGTCGATTGGCCGGTCTTCCCTGGCCCGCCCACGCATAATAGAACAGCCGAACCGTCCCGAGGCGGGGAGACCGAGCCCTTGTGGTGCACCCCTGGTCACCAGGTAGGCAGTTCACTGCAGGCCCTCACCTTGTGCGGACCTCCGAGCTACCTCCGTCTTCGCTACTGTTGTGCTGTCCGTAGCCCTCTGTCTCCACCATGCGTAAGTAAATAAATCTGTTTCACTCCCTGAACCGACCGAGTTCTTGTCATTACAATGGAAAAACAAAGGTGCTAACTCCTACCTTTAAAAGGCACTAACAAAGTTTGATGCCTTAGGAAAGGCACTAAAGTTTAGTGCCTCTTAAAGGCACTAAATGTGACTTTCACGCCTTTAAGCTGGCTAGCTTCATATATGTACCTCACAAGTTTGGTGCCTTTCCAAAGGCACTAAATTTTAGTGCCCCAGGAAAGGCACTAAACTGAGCCCTTGACTGTAGTGCCCCAGGAAAGGTGTTGTTTAGTGCCTTTGTTTTTCCAGTGTACCCTAGAGGTTTCACCACGCAACAACGTGTATGCGATCGGTGCTTTTGTTTGCTTGCCTGTTTTCGGGACGCAGGCCTTTGCCCTTCCCTCTGGGTTGGGCCGCTCTGCGCCCTGCCTGCACCCCACTAACCGCCCTTGCCTTTCAGCTTTTGCACCTGTACTGTCCGACCTGTTACTCTGCCCCGTGGGGGAACCAATTTTTGCTAATTATAACACAACACAATTCAATACCAGGACCCTCGCCGCCCCGTGCAGAACGGGGGGGAAGCCCCCTTGGAAGTGTCTCTTTGACGGCTTTTGCAGATAAGAACTCCTCGTGGGTTCCCTGGGGGGGATGGTCAAGTGCTAAACACCCTCTTTCAGGTGGCCGATCAGGAGCATTGTGCTTGTAGGCCGGTGGGTGGGGAGCCGTGGGTGGCGGCACAACGCATGAATTCATGTGATTGTAATGGTCCTTGGGACTTACACCATCTCCATAGTGGGGCGCCCCACCTGCCCTAATCAATCAATCAAATTACATAATATGCATGTCGCCTATGTGCAGTCATTTTAGTCAGCTGTTTTAAAAAACTTTGGAAAGCAGGGACCGAACTCTTTTGACCTTTGAGCACTTTGTCTCATCTTTCAAGATACACGAAAATTAACAGGTCGCCAAGACTAGGAGGGAAAAGGGAATGTACCGGGTGTAACTGAGAATACGCAGCAGGATTGCGGGACTGCCTATGCTGGAGTCGGCGGGCGACTGCTGCGCTCCACCGAGGGGGTGCACTCTTATGAGCGCGCCTGGTGCGAGGGGGCGCACTCAATGCTATACTCTTGGGCAGTGGGGATATTGTGGGTTGCCTGCCATCAGGCGTGCCCCCTCAGTGGACCGTCCGTAAGCCACGT